TGTAGAAGACACCTTCCTTGATCCTTCGTACAGTTACTTATTCCTTCATTCCCCATCCCATTTCACTTCTTACCACTTTATGTATTTTACCCATTTATTTTGTCTGCTTCCCCTTCTAAAAAGTAGAAAACGTTTATTCCGTCCTCTTCCTCAGTCCCCATTGTATCCCGAGTTCCCAGGAATTGGCAAACAACCAGTAATCAATATTGCTCCATTATACAGTGAGGTCTGAAATACCTGTACCCAAAAGGTTTTAGTTATAATTCAGTTTCAACATATGCCAACTTTTCCTTCCTTTTAAGACATTTCTTGATATACTGTCTTTCCACATAAACAAAATCAATTGTCAAGTTTCAAAAGCTCTTTTGAAAATCTCATTTGGAATGTACTGATTAACACAGGATGAACAACCAACGTTTTTAAAACATTAAGGATTCTAGTCAAAAACGAGGTATGTCTCTCTAGCAGTTTTTCAAATAACAATTTTTAGTGGAGCATGACAGTTTTCAATATTGCTGGGGAATACATCATGGTGGTTTCATTGAAGGCCTACTTCCCCCTCAACTATGTTTTCTAACTGGTTATTATAGACATTTTTTAAAGCTATTGTTTTTAATATGTAATATATGGATCTATATTGTGGTGTGGTGTTTTTCTTCCTGCCATCTCACCAGACTTCTGAGATGTTTTGAGTGATCCCTTTGCAGGCTCTGTGTGTACAATGTCAGCATATGTGAATTACAACAATACTGTCTTCACCTTTCCACTACAAGTAGCTCTGCAGTTTCACTTTTCTAACACTACTAGCTAACTGTCTAGTACTTCTACTACTAACGATTCCAGAAGACAGTATTTTCTCACTTTTGCCTAATTTCTAGTGTTTTACTACCAAGATAAGTATTATTTTGGCTATTGGTTTATGACACATTTTTATCATGTTAAATATCCCTTTTACATTTAAATAGTATTTCTAGCACACGCCTATTCAACACCTGACAGATAATATATTATCTTCTATTAAAATAATGAATTATAACAAACTTCTTAAAATTTCTTGTAGTCTTGGGACAAATCACACCTTACACTGTAAGTTTATTACTTAATGAAAAGCTGAATACTATTTGTGAATAGCTTTCTTAGAAATTCTGGATTAATACCTTAGAGAAATTTTTCATGTTGTCTTTGTGTCAAATTCATTGTGTAAAGTTTCAGGAAATTTAATTCCCTATGTAGTATACACTAATGGTTTAAAGTTTAGACTGTTAATACTTTCTAGATTCAAATCTTGAGTTCGCATCTTGCAAGTAATATAACTCTAGATAAATTCTTTATCTCCCTAAGATTTAGTTTTCTTAACTATTAAGAGAAGACACCAGGTCATTATGAAATTTAGCTGAGATAATTTAGATGAAACTCTTAGCACACTTGCATAGTCTACAAACTAGGTAAGATGGTAACAGTCACTGACAGAGCCCTTTCTTGTACCCAATAAAATCAGGATCAATACTTGCTTAAGTGAAAAATGTGTTAGAGGGAATTATATAAAAAAAAAAGATACGCAGATAAATAATTCAAACATTTTATTTTAACTGAAAATTTATAAATACACATCCATTCGGCAGTCTTAGACATGCAGCAAAGGCTTTCTCTTTCAACAAAGTATTCACTGAATGGAATTCTGAATTAGTTTTCTTGCATAAACCACAGCCATAACAATCATAAACGATTTTTCATTTTGGTTTATTTTAAATAAGGATAAAAATTAGTAATACTCTGTACTAAATCATTCTAGATTTTCTTTGTTTTTTTTACTTTTCTTTCTACTTACGCAGTTATTTGCCCACCCCTAAATACATAACAAAGTTTTAAAGCTTCTGGAAAGCACTGTATCTCTCCATATTTAAATGACATTAGTTGGCACAGAACATTGGAAATAACCACTTACCTCTTGGTCATCACTCTCTTTAACTGTCGGGATAAACATGTGGCATTACTAGAAAGTGGTAGCCTACTAGCTCCAAGCATTCAGCTTGCCGTTTATCAAGCAAATATTTACAGAGGGAAGGGAGAGTTTTGATTAAACTAATAACTCTGTTCAACAGAAGCCTGGATAAGAAAGCTTCTACCATGTTATTTTCTTATGGGATAAAGAACATTAAAATTAATGGTTTCTAAAATATTTGCAAAATTTACCTATGAAAATGTTGGGACCTGGTTGTTAACAGACTAATGCTTTGACAGAACTATTTCATACCTGGACTTTCCAACATAGTCTAGAGGTAATTTTGGTGGACCAAGAACTCTGTTACTTGATTTTATTTATACCTAAGGTCAATTTCTTTTTTGTTTTAATTTAAAATTTTATTTTGAGATAGAGTCTTGCTAACCTCAACTTCATGATCCTCCTGACTCAGCCTCCCAATTAGGTGGGATTACAGGTGTATGCCAGCATGCCTAGCTTTTGAGGTCAATTTCTATCCTATAATATTAACTTTACTTGTTACTCTCCTTTCATATTAAGATGAACTACTGGATTAATTTATATCACATATGTATGTGAATAAACTCAAGGCTATATCATCAGTTTATAAGCTCTACATTTCTTTATATTACAGCTTATTAAGTGCTCGTTTTGTGTATTTTCCTGTTTTGTTTTTTCCCTTGTCAGTTGACCGCTTACTTCATTTAATTTCATTTCTTACTTAGTACTATATACAGTTGTATGTCATTTAACGACAGGGATATGGTCTGAGCACCATGTTGCAAAGTGATTCTGTTGCTGTATGAACATCAGTTACTTACACAAACCTAGACAGCAGCCTGACAAGGCCTGACATGGCCTCTTTATTCAATCAGGAGAGGCAATGAAAGTGAGTTGTATGATGTTGCTGCCAGTGTAACAAGGTACACTGGGTTGTTTTTGGTGTTTTTTCTAAGTTCTTTTATTGGTACATTTTAGGTATACAATTCGTTTACATTTATCATTGGGTGTTTGTACCTGTACATGATGTATCTTGGTTCTTATTTTTTCCCCATTACCTGTGTGCCCTTCACCCCCTCCTCCCTTCCCTATAAGGTATACTGTTTTATAATGAACTTTTTTTTTGTAAGTACAAGTAGTACATGCTAAAACAACTATAACAGTATAGCATAACATAGCATGTACACAAACCAATAACACAGTTGACAGTTCTTACTGTTAAGTATTATGTGCTTATACAATTGTATGTGCTAAACTTGGCAGCACAATAGATTCGCTTGGTATAACCAAAAAAGTATTCTTTCCAATAGATTACAACAGTTATGATGTCACTAGGTGACAGCAATTTTTCAGCTTCATTACAATCTTCTGGCACCCCCAGTATATATGCAGCACACCACGTACGTCCATTGCTGACCAAAATGTCATTGAAAAGTTCGTGACTGTAATTTTCTCCTAAAAACTAGTGTAGCCAATGAATTTTTACATTTAAAATTTCTTGATCTGACAATTTTTGTTTTTATATTCATTTTCAGTTTTATTCTATTTAAAGAATATAGTCTAAATTATTTCAACGTGAGGTTTACTTACATTTGCTTTTTCTATTATTACATAACTATACTTTTACAAATGTTAGTTACTATTGAGAAGTATGTTTCTTATTTTGGGAAGGACAAGTCCTTGATCCTTGTCTATTTATCTGTCACATAGTAAAAGACAAGAGTTTCTTGCTTGTGTGGTGACCTTCCTTCCCCAGTGCTAGTTTGACTCTGTCCCCAATTTCCGTATTTTGGAAACTTAGTCCCCAAAGACTTATAGTATTTGAGAGGTAGAACCTTTCAGAGGTGATTGGGTTGTACAACTCCACTGATTAATAGGTTATCAAGAGAGTGAGTTCTCTCTGGCTAGCTTATGTCTCTACATGTGCTGCCCAGTGCTGCCCTAGACTTTGTAGAGTCTTCCATCAACAAGAAATACCTCACCAGATGTGGATCCCCAACTTTGAGCTTCTCATCCTTCAGAATGTAAGTGAAGAAATTTTTGTTCTTTATAAATTACCGAGTCTATGGTATTTAAGATACAGCAACAGAAAATGAACTACAACACTCTTTTCTCTTTCTAACAACAACTTACCAAAACAAAAAGGGCAACATTAAAAATTATGGATCTGAGGTTTTTTTCAGGGGAGAGGAACAGGCCAAACTCTAACTATGATGATCCCCAAAAGGAGGACTTGCCAATTCTCAGGATCTTCTTTTTATTTGATTAGTTCATGTTTTGGGGTGATACCTCTCAAGTTTATCAGATAAAACTAGAATCCTGTTCCAGTTATTATTTGCTGCTTATGCTTATTTTGTTCATTTGGAAAAGTAAAATTCTATATTTGTGCCTCCTACCTTCATCCTTATTTTGAAACATTCATGGACTCTTATAAGTAACAAGTTGCAGTCTATATAAAATAAACAATAATTTATTTTAAAATATAAAATGAAGAGAAAGTTGACTAATATATATGAGAAAACTGCTTATGAGTGGGGTCCTATGATAGGATCAAATAATGAAGACCTCTGCCAGGCAAATCTATGCATATATTTTAGTGTGTATACATACACATATAGATGCATATAAACATATGATGTTTATAAAGGAGAGTATTTCTTTTACAATATCCCAAAACATTAATTCTCCTTTTATGCTATGCCTTTAAAAAAAAAAACTATCTGCCATTCATTCTCTCCTACTTCGTATTACTTACTTCCCAATCCTGTTCTTTCAGCTTCAAGTCTTTGAATTATTCACCACTACCACACCCACACACACACAGATCTGGGGACAGTAAAATCCTTAATTTTAATTGAACAAGTATTCAAGGGTGTGCATTCTAGGTTCTCCTCCATTTAGTAGTCATCAGGCTTCAAGAGAACCAGACTGTTCTCCTCATGAAGTACGCTTGAAAATGTCAAGTTTCTTATGATGACACACACCCCCATCCTCAAAAATACTATCATCAGCAGCTTACCTTATTAATTCTAGTTGTGCAAGTTCCTGATTTGCTTGAAATATTGGTTTTTTAGTGAAGAGTTCACCAAGTATACATCTAATGGAAAAAATACCAATCGTTACCAAACGATTTTATTCAGTACCGTAAGTTTTAAGTAAAATGTGCCATCAAGAAATCTATCTTACCCACAGCTCCAAACATCAATAGCCGGTGTATATCGTTCTTCTCCTAACAGCAGCTCAGGTGGGCGGTACCATAAAGTGATGACCTTGTTAGTATACGGTCGACTAAAAAACACAGAAAACACTCTTCAGAGTTAGTATTTATTGGAAGAAGAGAGATTCACTTAGGAAATATAATTTTAAGTATCAAACCAATCCTGTAATTCTAACTAAAACTACGTTTATCTCCCTAGTAAATATAGACATAGTAAGGCATTCAATATATGATCATAAAGTGCACCTAAGAGCAACATGATTAAAAAAATTCCCTTCGTATAAGAAAATAAAAATAAGAATAGTTGGCTGTTATCAACCATGATTTGATAAAAGACAGGTCATATAAACTCAACTGTCGAGTAATGTTTTCCCTTTCCATAAAAATTATTAAAATGATGAAACGATTTAAAACAAAGCTGGTTGATTTTGGCCCAATCTGGCAAATTCCTAATAGGTGACAAGATACAGTTCAAATTGGGATCACCCAATGAAAATTTGGGGTTTTCTGTTTGGTTTGGTTTGCCGTACCAGGGATTGGACACAGAGCAAGTGCTCTACCACTGAGCTATAACCTAGCCCCCAACAAGTTCTTAACTGAGGGTATCTTAGGCAGTAGTTCATTAACTTTGACCGTCTCAGGTTTGTGAATAGAAAAGTATGGAAATGTAGACTACAGTACTCGAGGTTTGTTTGGCAAAAGCCCACTAGCAGTAGGTATGATAATTTATTAGATGATTTGTCACCTCTAGAAAGAGGAATATACAGACTATTACCTCTTTCACTGCCATAGAAGAGACTATCTAGCCACATCATTAGTAGAGTGCAATTTAACTATCACAGTATCTATTCACTGGCAAAGTGTTTATAATCCACAGAATGGTCACATTCTACCTGATTCAGATGAATGAAGAATGTCCTATGAAATCAGACAGAGGAGGTTCTTCAACTGATCTGTGATTAAGAGTATATACTTCAGGCTGATCACCTATGTCCTTAGATCAATTCTAAACCTCTGCTTTCTAGATGTCTTACAAATCACAAAAACTCAGAGGATGTAATACAGGAAATTTTCCAGAAAAGCTGTATTCCAAACCCATTTACTGAGATTGGCTTGGACCTGGACCAATTTTGAGAAGGAAAAAAGAGCACACAACTTTTAAAACAATTCCCTCTTGCCTATCATAGACCTGAAGTTTCAGATAGCATAAAATGTGTCTGACCTCTACCCCTCTGAGCCAAATTTCGCCAAGTAACTTAAGTACTAGTATGACAAGTGATCAATCTGGGCATCACATCATCACCACAGACAAGACTATGTTAAATGTTCCAAAGACAGAAAAAAGCTTGGTTGACTTTGGTAAAAACTGAAAATAAAGAGAACAGTGTAAGATTTTTAACAACAAATTAGGGTTTATTTTTTTCTAGTATTATTAATGTACTTTTAGTGATTTTTGTTTACTGGCATCACTTATCTTCACATATACCAGAGTGTTTTTAAATCTAGCTACTCTAATTAAATTAGACTCAGTCATTATTCCTTTAAAAACTGTCTACCTCTTTATGCCTGAAGTCCTTTAACACATTCACAATGGGGCTGTAATTCATATGTCTTGCTGCCAGGCGGCTCTGAACCACGGTGGTACATGCACGACTGCCTCATCGAGTGGCATGGAACAGTTCAGTCAGGTGTTATAAGCTTCCTGATGGGACAGTTGTGCACATACCACCAGTGGTTCAAGCCAGCAGGAATGTGTTAAAAGCTGAAACTGTTCCTAGATTTTTCTCACTTAAATCCTATACTTCCTTCGCTACACACTAGAAGATCCACCTCCATAGAAATCTAATCTCTATTCATAGTAATTTATCTTCACATACTTAGCACAGTCCTAATTCTCTATTTCATATCTTCTATCTTCACAGGAATTCAAAAGACCTTACAACACAAACCCCAGGACAATGGCAGACACAGGGCACCTTAACGTAAGACAGCCCAGCAGCTTCAGGTGACACATGCAAGTTAGCTGGTCAGAACAAAATTTGAATATTAGGATGACTAGTTTCCAAGATATTTCAAGGGTCTATATGCATTTGAAATGTACAGTCATGTTACAAAAGCAACAAAATAACTAGTCTCAAAGAAATGCTTCAATTAATATAAATCTATGCAAACAGTGGATTTTTATCTTTATATTTTGAATTTTGGAGGAACTAGGTAAATTCAGGTGACTAAGATGTACTAAAAAGGAATATTTAAATACAAGATTAGTACTAAGTTCTAGGCGGTATTTATCAGTCATCATTAGCAGTTAAAAGTAACTTACTTTTTAAATGCTAAATTTCCCAGCAATACATTATTAAAAAAAGTCTGCACTGATTTCTTTTACACTGTAATTTATAGAGTTCTTGGGACAGCCTTTACTTAACCACCTATCAAAAAATTTTGTGGCTTCTTTTTAATGCCTATCTAGCTTCTGGAATCAGAAATCCAAAAATCATTCTTGATTCTTCTTTCCATCAAATCACATAACAAACTATATCCTTACTCCAACTATTCTTCGCACATTTGACAACTATGAAGAAAGTGCAAACCACTACATCACTACTGCAGCGTCTGCACGGATTTCCTTGCCTCCATCTCTCATTCTCTTCCCTCACTTCTTTTTAAAACTTTTTTGTAGTAACAGTTTTTAAAGCATAAAACCAGATCCTATCATCTATGTGCTTTAAAATGTCCACTGATCTCCCACCGTTTACTAAAATTTTACTTACCTCAGTTGCTAACACTGTACACTGAGGATCCTGCCTCCTACGTGATCTGATGACACTGGGCAACTTCGTTATCCTTAAACCTTCCAAGTCTGTTCCCAAGCGTCTGAGTCCCTTCTACTTCATAGCTGTAATTTTCTTTGTCTAGTCTTAAGTCTTCTCATTCTCATTGCTCAGGTCTTAGTCCAATTTACTTCCCCAAAGAGGTCCATCCTAACCACCCCAGTGAAAATTACCCCAGCCACCACCTACCCTCCAATATGGGTCCTACAAGCCACTATTTTCTGTGCTTTGTAGTTTGTACTATTTTAAATTCTTTCCCTATCCCATGTGTACTCACCTTCCTCATCACCATGAAAATGGAACCAAGAATTGGGTCTGTCATTAACAACTCTCTAACATACAGCCAACAGATATTGGTTACATCAGTGTCTCGGATATGGGTCACTTATTTATCCTTTGAATGGACTGGCTTATGTCATAACTATGGAACAATAATAATCTTTTTCTCATGCTTTCTTTTCCTCTTCCTATTTTCACTTGTTTTCCTCCTCCTGTGGATAACTTTTAAAATTCATGGATCATTGTATTGCTATAGAAAAATGAAACTATTCTTTTCAAATTGATATTGTCATCTTACTAAGGTCATTTGTCTTGGTTGTCTATTCTTTCTACACATGCACACTTAGAAGTGCTATAAATACTTCCACTGTAACACATCCAAATGTAAGTTTATTACCTTTTGCTGTAAATTGCTTCTCTCTTCCTGCTTCATGTCTCATCAAACAGCATCACCATTTGTGGCAGAGACTGATAGCTGTCCTCTAAAAATATTTTCTTCCTTTCTTCTATGGCAGCTGCCCAGCTATGCTACATTTCCCATCCTCACTGCAGTGAGGTGTCGCCACATGACAAAGTGCTCTCCCATGGAGGATGACAAATGGCAAGTGCCACTTTTAGGCCTCGCTCATGGCAACTCCCTGCTCTCTTCTCATTTCTGACAACAGCCTTAAAAGGCATGTGTAGAAGTTGGCATATCTTCCAACCTGGCTTCCTGGATGCCTATATGGAACAGTCACCACTTGATCTGATGTTATGATTAAATATTAATGGTGCACTGAGGTAAGCAACAACCATTCAGTATGATTGAGAAATTATATGTATATATAAAAATATATATAAATTTCTCATTCTTTAGCTCCTACTACTTTGAGGGTCTCTTTGTTACAAATGTTTAGCAGATCCTAATTAATATACCATTTATCTAGTTGCTTAGCAGTAACCCTGTAGTTAAGAGGTGTATTTTACAACATAGTCAATCACCAAGTTCTAAAACTTCTCTAATATATCCTTATGACATAATTCACCTGTCTTTCCAACACCTGTCCCCATTCCCTAGTTCTAGCCATAATTGTTCTAACTATACTGCAACAGCTTTCTAATTGTCCTTCTACAATCACACATTACTTCTACACAAGACCCAGAAGAACCTTTATTAATTGGTTCATGATCCAATCTCATTGAATCTTTGATTCCTGAAATGCTAAGTAAATACACATTTTCTAGAGCACAGAGATAAAGACAGGGTAGAGAGCTGCCAAGAAAACTTTCAAGAAGTTAGTGGTGCTTTATGTTTTAAATGGTTTTTAGTAAAGTAGATTTTGTTAAATGATGACTTATTAAAATATTTTACAAAATAAGTACCATGCCCCACTCTGAGGAAATATGCAGACAAAAGATCTTAATCATAAAAGCAAACACCAAGACAGAGTTGGAAGAGAATGAGGCCAATATCATGCATCAACCCATTCAAAAACAGTTAAGGAGTATTATCAAGAAAATAGTCTATGTTATAATTAGAATGTAGGGTAATAAGTGTAAAGACAAAATTCAAAAGACTGAAATTGTGTTTTAAAACCAAAAATTTAGCTGAGTATATTGGCACATGCCTGTAATCCCAGCACTCTAAGGCAGAACTGCTATGAATTCAAGGCCAGCTTGAACTATACAGCAAGACCCTGTCTCAGAAAAACAAAACCAAAACCAAAAAACCAAAAACAAAAATTTAGAATCCTTGGAAAATTAAAACACTCTTGTAATATGAAAGTAGATTATCCAAAAGCAGACAAGTAAATACAAATCCAGAATCTTCAAAAAATGAGCATTTTAAACTTAGTTTTCTATATTTGACTACTCATTGTCAACATACTAAAAATGGTATTGCTTAGATCACAAAAGCACATACATGGCTTATTTCATGGGTTAAAAAAATGACATTCTTGATGAAGGTCTACCTAGTCTTC